TTTTTTTTAATTTTTAATTTTTGGGCTATCCAATTTACCATAAACCACCATGTGACTGTTAAGAACTGATCAAATCGAAATCTTTGGTTTCACAGGAACCCGTGGCTGTTCTGTTTTTTCTTTTGTACCAGCCTCATTCACTGTAGTAGATGAGTGTGAATGTGGCATACTGGTGTTAGTCATGTTTTGTCTTGATGATTGTTAGTCTTTGTACAGTGCATGAGACGTGATATAAGATTTTGACTTCAGTGAGGATGAGGTTAGCTGGAGAACAGACAGCCTGGTTCTTAGCAAGAATGGGACATGGATAAACACAACCACCTGCTCTGCACAGACATTCACACAGATTCACAGCTTAAAGAGATTTCATTAAGTATCACAAGTCATCTAATGGTTAGTTAGACTGTCTGCCAGTACTTCCTGCCCTCCCCATCACAATGGAGAGGTTAAACTGCGTACGTGTGATCATAACTTGACAGAATACTGACAGTTCTTAAAGTCTAACCAAATCTTCTGCGTATGGATTAGTTTACCCCCACACCACACGCCAAAAAATCTGTCACAGTTACATTATTTACCATCTTATCATTCCAAACCAAGCTTTTTTTAATTTAAGTTTTAGTAATTTTAGTGTTTTTGATCTGTCATTTTTATTTAGTTTTTGTTTCTAATTAGCTTTAATTTATTTTTATTTCAGTTTGTAGGTTTAGTCATTTTAGTACTTCAACTTCAACTTATTTATTTCAGGTAGTTAGTTACCAACATTTTTAAATGTTCATCTTTTTAGGAGTGAATTTTTCATCTAATATTTATATTTTATATTATTTTAGCTTTATATCAACTAACAAAGATGATTTTTACTAGTTTTATATTTAGTTACCAAAAATAACACTGTTCTAAACCTGTATGAGTTTCTTTCTTCTGTGGGACAGAGAAGGAGATATTTTGAAGAATGTACTGGTCACTATTTTTAATGTAGTGATGTCTGATTTGTGAATAATTCTTTTGAGTCAGAACCAACTGATTCTTGAGATAATCAGGGTTAAATCTGGTTAAGACTAGAAATATAGCTTACGAGCCATTTGAACTACTTTTATAATACTTTTGAGAAATGTCCTCTTTTTTTGTCCCACAATAGAAAGAAAATCAAATAGGTTTGGAGCTTGAGGATGAGTAAATAGAAACAATTTAGTTTTTGTGGCTGAAGTTACTGCTGTTAATTGAAATCAACAACGCTCAGTCTGAACCTACTTTGTGTAATATGATAAAGTTGCAGATGGAAAAAAGACAGCAAGACACATGCAGGCTTTGCTAAGAACAATAAGCCTCAGTGGAGCTTCAGGTGTGACTCAAATGGTTATGTAATGGTTAGAGATCCAGTAGCCCACCTGTACTGTACACCAACTGGTCCATGTGACTGGTGTGTGTGTGTGTGTGTGTCCATGTGTGTGAGATAGAGACAGACTGAGCCTTGGTCTGGGGCTGTAGGATGATACGAAAGTGCTGAGGTGCGGTTTCAGGGTCTGTCGCGGGCGGAAGTGCTGAGACAGTGTCAGTTTCACTCTGTCTTATCTCTCACGGTAATGATTTTGTCAAGATGGGCTGTGCACTAAAGCACTGGCGGGAGGCCAAACTCTATGCACAATTATTTTCTGTATTTTCCTTCTCTCAGTGCTCTGTTGATTGTTGAATTGTAGATAGCTTCCGTGTTTGTGTGAATTGTGTTGTGTCCTCATTCTCTGCTGTGTTCTCATAATAACCCAAGAGTTTGCAAACCTATGCTGACTTGTAGCCTGCATGGTTCATTTGTGGTTTCTGTTAATAATTCATCTTCTGAATGCCTCTGTGACATGTTGATAAATGGTCTGGAAAAAGCACAGTTCATTCTGAAACAAAACTTTACAGTGAGAGATTATGAAAACAATATTCCTGTTCGTTATAAGCTTACAGTAAGTGTCTGTAGTAAGGATCTGCTCTCATTATGACTTCAGCAGCAGTTGTTTCCTGTTTTCAATACAAAAATACAATCCATATAGCTAATATGGAAAATTACAAAAAAATGATAAAATACAAAAATAAATAATTCTAAATTATTGTTATTAATTTAAAATTGAAATAACAATGTAATAAAGCTAGAATATATAGTAAACATAACTTCTCATTAGAAATTATATTATTAACACAATAATCTGATTATAAGTATTACATTAAAATTACATTTGATTATGAGTAGTGATTATTATTTTATATTATAACCTATCTTGTTTATGCCCTGTTGTAAATAAAAACGTGTGAGAACCACAAAGCAAACCAAAAAAAATCCCAGACCAATATAGAATTTCCTTTTCTCCATGATCGTCTTCTGTTTGATGTTTTCTCTCTTGTGTGTGTTTTAGTCTACTCTGAGTCTGCATCTAGTTACGAACTCTGGCTGTAGTAATAAAACCAATGAGAACTAATCCAAACTTGTGGTAACCGAGTTCCATCCTTCATCAAACAAGGCCTGGGAGCTTATGCTGTGGATTGTTCCAACTGTTTTCAAAGGTTTTAAATAAACTCGTTCCTAAATGGAAAAAGCAGGCTGCTAATTTCCAGCTGCAGCAGTGTAAGCAGAAAACAGCTTCTTGTGAATTGACACATCATTCACAGCTGATAAATAATGGAGCAACTTCTGTTGTACAACAAACGCAGCCACACCCATTACACACACACACACACACACACACACACACACAGTGGGTTCTGCTTTGTAAACTTGCACTCTGGTGCCGAGATGTGACACAGATTTTCCAGAAACAGCTTTTGTTGTGGATCTAGCATCCCTCACACACACTAAACCTCAGAGAGCACAGATGGTAATTATGTGTCATCGGTTGCATTAGCAGAGGATGCTGAAGTGGAATGAGGGCTATTACCATCTCAGCCCTAAGTTATATATATATATATATAGACGGGAGACTCTTTCATTTAACCTGCAATGATTCAACACCACCTTTTCAATCTGCCTCTTTAGAATAGGCAGATATGTCAAGATCGTATGGAATTTTCCTGTTTCCGTCGGCTAGACTCTTGCATTTTTAATGCGTCTACTATGTGTGCCTCTCAGTCACGTACAGTATAGAGCACGTAGTGCTTAATAATTGTTGCACCCTCCTATCATAATGGGTCAAGACATCAGGACACAGTGGCTAAGAGCAATGCGAAAGCACTCTGTAGAAAAGTGGGTCATACTGACTGCTGTTACGGCATAGCTTGTAGATCCATGAACGCCAGCAGAAAATGCTTTAGTTTACTATGCTTTATGCTGTGACTCTCTTGGTCAAATACAGTGCAAACTAGGAAAAAATGCAGCCATAATGTTTTTTAACATGTTAATACTGTGTAAGGGCATACTAGAATAGATCATAGTAATATATTGTTGTTGTTTTTGAATACCCTATCATAAACACCATCGCATATGAATACGTTGATATTATCATTGTTCATTATTATAGGCGCATTCATGATTATCATAATTACAAGATTCTGACTCTTCGTAGAACTTAATTACAACTTGTACTGAATTTTCAGAAAAAGCTCCAACTTGAACCACCTGACACTACAACATCACATGGAAACACTCAAGATGACTGTGGCTTCAAATGTAGTGAAGTACATTATCATTATATTTCTGATTTAGAAATGCAAGATTATTTTAAAAATAAATGAAAGCCATTCAATATAGATACAAAATAACATACACAAATGTAATGTATAACTAGCACAGAGTTGGATAACAAATGTCCTGCTAAATAAGCTAAATAAGCTTTAGTTTATTAATGAGGCATGTACATAATTGTTACTGTGGCTTGTGTTTTTTCTATTGATGCTCAAATTACACTGATTCATTCGTTTATAGTGTTGCCCGTGGAAATACATAATTCAGAGTCTGAGGACGTGAACACAGAGTTGTCGTCTAGTAATTACAGACAGTACTTACGATGCACCTTAGGGGTCTATGGTATAGACATCATGTTGTTTATTTGTCTATTAAATTACACTAGCATGGTGGTCTCTTCCCCTTCCCTCTCGCACAAGTAAACCGATTTGTGCTACGCAGGCATTAGTCCAGGGGTCATCAAAGCAGAAAACCAGGACACATCAGTCTTAGATGAGTTTGTGTAGCTGTAGTATTTGTTCGGTCT